AAAAAAAATGACAAAAATTCAAAAATGAATTTAGTTCAATAAAGTGACATGACTTCATCCTTCAAATATTCAACAATTTCAATATTATCTTTCAACCATTCAATAGCGTCATTAACAAGCACTACATTGGAGAAAAAAATCCCCAAAATCATACTATACAATTGAAAAAAGAAGAAAAATGGAGAAGAAATCAGTCTCTTCATTCTTCTATTTCAACCTCAATATCTCAATCGGAACTCGGTGTTTCCTTGTCAGCGCCAATGGATCTGATTCATTTTTTTACTAAGAAATTTAGGCCCTATTTGAGCCACATTATTTTTTCATTTCCATTCTTCTACTCATTTTCAACCACACATTTTTCGATAAAATAATATTTTTCATCACATCAATAATTTTTCTTTCTTTTTCAACCACATATTCTTCATCACATCAATGGTAAAAATACATTCTTTTTCAAAAAATGTGCATCAAACAGATGCTTAATTGTCTTTATTTTTTCATTTTTTTGATTGAACGCGAAAAACGATTTTGATGCATATGATAGGTGGGAGAGGGAGATATGGTCATAGTGCTAAATTTCTCAGCTTTTCACTAAACATCTTGCTTGCAATGGGGTATTGATGTACTTTGGGAGAATCTTTGAGTAAAGGGAATAGAGAATGGAATGGGGATAATGAAAATTGGTTGGACTTGAAAAGATTTGCATTGGAATGTTTGGTAAAAAATCGTATCTAGTGACAAAATTTAAGTTTTGAAGGATTTTTCAAAATTTTGATGAAATAAAAGTACATGGCCTAATTTTCTCAATAAATTTTGTAGAAATTGATTTTTGAAAAAATGTGTGATAGAAAAATTATGGGACTGTGTAAAATTATTTTATTCAAATAACTAGTGAGAAGCATGTGCATTGCACGTACCATAATGTAGTTGACTACGTAATAGCGTATGTATTAAAAAATATATATATATATATATGTCAAACATTAGTTACATAGAATTTTCTTATAAGTTGCTAAATGTTTCGAAGCGACATTAAATGTGGAGATTTAAAAAAAAAAAAAATCACACCCACAGTTATCGAAGAAATCGATGCTCACCTTCTACCACAGCCTCCAGGTATCGAAAAATGTCTTCTTATGAATCCCCGATAAAAACAGGCATTGTCAATTATTTCATAAACCCCTAATCAATTTTTCAATAAAATAACAGGGGAAAAAACTCGAAATAAAGAAGTTTATTATTATCACATTTTAAGTTTTTTTTAAAAAAATTGAAATCGATCCAAATGGATATTCATATAGTGAAATA